AGTGCGCTCTGGCTACAATGCTTTTCTCATTTTTTCACAAACCAATTCTTATTTTTATTGTCTATTTCTCATAAGGAAAAATTGCAAAAACAAGTCTATATTTTCAGTTCTCAATTTCACACAATTCGACAATATTTGTCACAACCTTTGAACTCTTCCATTCTTAAAAGGAACAATTAATTGATATTCGACCCAATCCCTATGGAGACGATACTTTACTTACCATCTATATTACTTGTGCGATCGGTATACTTGTCGGTGAGCATCAAGGACCCCTTGTCTTACTGAGATTTCTGTTTTGAGATCTCACCCAACGTTTGGGGCATATTTTCAGGTTCAGGTAACTCGGGGGTTGATACCTCGGGCGGCAGGAGGCTGGAGCTGAGTTAGATATATGCTGCTTATGATGATATGCTTGGGTGCTGACATGTTATCTAATTTTTATCAAGTTTGACTTGAGATTCTGTTGGGCCTTGTTGCCTTATTTGATGAGCATGGGGTTGTCCATGCCACATTGATTGACTATGTCTTATTTTAGATTCGGGTTGTATTAATGTATCAGGATTATTGTCCGGACTACGTGTTGTAGTTCTGTGACTTAGATACTCACCCGTTTATATATTGAGGTATTTCAGTTAGTTGTATTTATTGCAATTTACATGCAGGCAATGTTTTATGAAAAAAGCATTAAGTAATCAACTTGGTTAATGTTAATGACGTCATAATTGAAAAGAAAAGTTATTCTGCATTTTTAATTAAGCAATGCTTAATACAATGACATGATAACAACTGGGTATACACGAGGTGTTACAAGATCTTTTCGTTGTTGAAGGCATGGATCATCTTGTTCTTCTTGTGTGGATCTTCAAAGGTGAAAAAGCTCAACCTTTCCTTTGTTATTCAAGATAGAAAGTATGATTTAGGTTAAAGTTTGAGTCTTGAAGTTGCTTTTGTGTTTAAAACATGTTGGTATGTTAATTAAATGACTAAACAAGTTTGGGGGATCATTGGAGGTCAATTACACCTTTAAAACTCATTTTTCTGCATTCTGTCGAAGAAGTATTCGAATACATTTCGTGTAGTATTCGAATACTTTTCTGGAAAAATGCAATAATCGAATATTCCGCGAGACAACAGAAACCTAGTTTAGTAAAATTGCGATATCTCGAGCTACAGGGCTCCAAATTGAGTGAGGTTTGGACCTATGTGAATATAACAAATAGGGATACAACTATGTAATTTTTCAGATACATTGCATATGTGAATTGATCGTAGCTTATGTTTGAAGTCGCGACGCTATTGCTGGAAATTCAGTTTGTTGTAGAAACTTTGTGAAAATCATAACCGGAGTTATACAACTCCGATTTGGACATAAAATATATCTTTGGAAAGCCTGTGATGTCTAGTATAACATAGTAAAATCTTAGAGCCTTTACTAAAGAGATGCAACACTGGTTTTAAAAATTGTAAAGGTAGTTTAATGCCAAATCAGACAATGGAACCCATTTCTCTGAATTGTTCTTCAATAAAAGGACTTGTAAACCCTTATTAATGATTTAGAATCTTAAAGAGTTCAGTGTGGACATTGGTAAAATTTGGATTAAGTCATAATTTAAGTATCCCCACACTTGTGGCTTTGAAAGAAGCATTAAGCGTAAGAAACAAAAATGAAATAAAGTCCCTCTAGACATTATGTTTTTGTATATATTTATTGATGAGATGTACCTTGTTAAAATAGGTTGTGATATTGTTGGATACCGCGTTGGTGACCTCTCGGACACCGAGTTATTATTAGAGGACTTTACCGAAACATGTAAGCTTTTGGTCCTCAGTTTTATCTGTTGCTTGTTCTACCAAACCCCATGGGGGATTGGTTTATGTGCATGGTATGTTTTCTGGAAATTATATTCATTATGTTATGAGTATTGAATATGCTATTGAGCTGGATTAATTATATCTGTTTATGTTATGAGTATTGGATAAGCTGTTGAGCTGAATTGTGAAATTATATCTGTTTATGTTATAAGTATTGGATATGTTGTTGAGCTGGATTAAGATATAGTGCATTTTCCATATGTATATGTATGTGGTGTTCCACCTAGACGGTTAGCCTGAGTATGTGGCGACATACAAGATGGTGATTCTGTGGGTGAGGTACAAGCGGTGTTCCTTGTACTGTAGGTTGTAGACGTACATAATCCCTACATTTTTATTCTCTGTCCAGTAGGATGCATACACACATGACATGGATATATGTGGCATTGCACACCTATTTGGTATATCACATGGCATGCTCATTTTATGTACCGCATTGTTACTGCTATAAATGGCCCGGTATAGCCATTCCCCTTATCTTGTTATTAAGTTGTTTCTTTATATATTTTCTGCACTGTTTTAGAACTTATATTATACCTGTAAGTGAGCTTGGGATGGAGGATTCCTTGAGGACCCCTTGTCTTACTGAGATTTCTGTTAGAAATCTCACCCCTTTTTAGGGCACATTTTCAGGATATGATGTTCGTGAGACGAACATTGATAGAGGCAAGAGGCCAGCATAGAGTTTTCATTATTATTATGAGTCATGCATATTATGATAATTCATTCTACCATGAGGAGACTTTATTATGACTAGACTTGATTGGATTTTGTTGTTATTTGAGGTGAGCATAAGGGTTGTCTATGACACTATATACCCATTGAGTTTGTTCGCTCTTGTTGGAAGATATGTATAAGTTTATGTCTTTTGGATAATTGTATTGCTTGAGCCATTTGATATTGTGTCTTATGAACTATTTTTCATGGACTTAGTAATTAAAGTCTTTAAATGGCTTAGGTCAGTTATAGATATAAATGAAAGTCCCTAAGGTGAATTGTATGGAAGTTGTAAGGGGTTAAAAACCCCATTGCATAACAGGGCTGATATGGCCTCTGTCCAGGGAGTGATCGAATAGGTATTCGATCGGTTACCGCCTGGCAAGAACGAATTTTCAACTACTGTCTAGGAAGTATTCGAATACTTGAAAAAGTATTCGATTACTTCTCGGGCAGTATTCGAATACTTTTCGGGAAGTATTCGAGTACTTTTCGGGAAGTATTCGAATACTTTTCGGGAAGTATTCGAATACTCCCCTAGGCAGTGGTATTTGTAATTCTGTTTCAAGATTTTAATGGTGTAACTTGTATCCTATGAAGATTAGGCAATAAAACAAGATTAAGGAGATATTAGGGGAGTTATCATAATAAATCCCTATGTGTTTTGTGGTAAGTTGAGTGAGTGACCATAATTAATAGCTTAATAATGGTTAAGTCAAATAGAAATGGAAAGGTTAAAGGAATTTATTTAGATAAATGATGCACGTTAAAAAGAGTTGTAGAGCCTTAAATTGGCATTCATAAATACGAGGAATGAAGTAGGTATAATGGAGTAACTAATGGTAAAGAGAAGGTATTAAACTTCAGGATGTTCTTTTGAAAGATTTAGATTATGAAATGGGTAAATAAGCTTATATGTAAATTATAAGTGAGAAAGTGGAATGAATCATGTATAACATGTAATTAGCTTGCATGCAAGTGATGATTTCAATTAATAAAGAATGGAAAAAGTTTATCTACGCTTTAATGAGTTTAGCTTCCGCATTTATTCAGATTAAATATATTGCGCTTAATACCATTCTGATGATAATACACCGGGTGCACACAGGGTGTTACAGATACTGGGTGGGAATTTGTGTAAGGGATAGACTAGGAAACTAGGATACTAACACAAGTTTCATAGTGGAGTTGTCCGTCGAATTTCAGTATTTTATATTAGGGTCCGTGATTTTTTTTCCTTTTGAGTTTTTCACATAAAAATTACTGTGTCAATATCTCTCTATCTTTATCTTAATTTATTGTTTTGAGTTTATTTTTAATTAGCAAATTATTTTTATAAAATTCAATTCACCCCTCTTGAGTTCATCCGGGACCAACACAAATAATACACGTATTAGTGAAAATCCTCAACGTTTGGAGAGGGGATCGCATGAATTGTGAAATTAATACTGTGTTTGCACGGAGTCCGAGGGTAATTCTTATTCGAGTTGAATGTTTTTCTGTCTCAAAATGACTTTATTTGTAGGTTAACCACAGAATAAATTAGAATTATAAAATATATTTTTTCAAATTTTAAGACGTCATTATGGATCACAGGAAATAAGTACCCTAGCTAGGTTATTATATTGCTTCTATATTATGATGTATGATCAAATTATTCTACCATGCATATGGTTGTACTAGCGCAAAATTAAGCAGTAAGTCAGATTCTATACATAGGCTACTTATTACATGAAAATATTTTTAACTATAATAGTATAATTTATTTATATATGGACTTCCTAATACATTCACCATTAATTATTTTGGGACATTTTTTTTAGATATTATCTATTGATTAATTGATTACTATACTACTCCGATTCGAAACAGATAAGATTACATGGGCAGCAAAGCAAAGCTTTTCCTACTAAGTTTTAACACAATTACATTCTCAGAGACTCGAACTTGAGACCACTGATTAAGATGAAACAATCCCTTACCAGCTGCATTCATCATTCCAAGATTTCTATTTGGCTAAATATATGGACAACTTGGCCTAAACTGCTATCAATATCTTTTGTTTCTTTTTTTCCTCCTTTTTTTTGTTCGCTAGATATTTATCGATTATCTGACTAATCTAGTTTGAGTTAGATAGAATCGTAACAGTGACAAAACTCTATTTACCAAGTTTTGAATACAACCGCATGCACTTGAACTCCATACCACTTATTAATTGTTTTTTTCTTGTGTCTCCAGAATAGAGAACCTTGCAATAATAACCATATATGAATTTGACATGTTCCTTTCGTATGTAGTTATGTACCTTAATTTCCCATGAAATCAAACAATGGTACACATCTTAAATTAAGCCCCATGTCTTCACAACCTAACTACAAGAAAAGAACTATTTAGATATAGCATATACCTTAGTAGTTTGAGTATGAATTATGACCAAGCCTGAGCTCTAAGTCCACCCCTTCACCATCTTTCACGATTCCTCTCATAACTTGATCCGTATCCACATGACTTGAACCAATTTGGAAACTCAAATTGGTACCCAGCAGCTCTTGGTTCCGTATCAAAGACTCAGACTTTGTGTTAAGAAACTCATATTGAATGGTATATGCAGGTGGGTAGTGGTTTCTAGGGTTAGGTTTTGATGTCTGAATATACATGCCATCGTTCCTCTGAGACTCCAAAATATATCTCAAGTGTTCCTCGTTGGTAAAGTTGTTGGATAGTGAAGATTTTGGTTTGCATTGCTTGGCCTTGATTCTCTCTTTCCTGTGGATATTCATGTGACCTCCTAAGGCACGAGCATTAGTGAAGCCTCTCTTGCAGATTGTGCAATCATAAGATCTTTTGGTCACAGCAAAGTCATCTTGTTCTTCTTGCTGATCAATTTCTTCAGTACAATTCTCTGATCCTACCATCTCTGATTTCTTATATACCAAAAAGCCTGTATCTCATAAACAAATTGAACAATTTGAGAATCTTATTTTTAGGTAGGAAATGGTTGATGATGGAAAACAAGATGTAGCAGAATGAGAGAAAGAGCAAGTGAAAGATAGAAGGGTTTTATTGAGAGAGGTATTGGAGAGGTGTGAGAGAAACAAGCAGAAGTTGGCTTTGTTTTGAAGCATTAGTGGGTTTGCTCTTGGGTTTTTTCATTTAGCCGGCTCTATTGTGGGCCCAAATTTTGGGTCATTTTTAATACTTTTACCATTAGCATCCATTTCATTTGGTAACAATTTTGTCTTATGTTGCTTTCGTCAAGGTTTTCATGATTTGGTTGTTTATGTTTTGGCATCTATTGTTCAATTTTTATAGCCACCTTGTGTGACAAATTCTTGTGAAGATGGTACTCATAGTTTCGAAGGATTGTGAAGTTACTAATAGTATTTTTCACACTTCAGTTTTGTGCTCTAGTTGTGAATTTATGCACTACAAATAGCAAACGGAATGCACAATGTGTTGGTACGTATTCTAATTATTTTTCCATTTTGAAGAATACACAACAATTTTACATCGACCCACAAGTGAAAAAAAAATAAAAAATGAGAGCGGAGGATTTTATTATTTTGCATGTCTCAATTCTCACAAGTTCTTCAGGGTCGAATTCTGATTCACGATGTATAACCAAAAACCTTCATCTTTCAACTTATACATCTGAACGCAAATTAAAAAAAAAAATATTATATATATATATATATATATATATATATATATATATATTTCTAGACGAAAATGCGTTGAGGTTTATTTTAAAAAGTCCCTTTCATTTCCCTGATATGTTGTAATTAGGTTCCTGCAAGTGATTTACATGCATGCAATTGGCCTTCCACCATCTTATGTCTACTAACAAAACGCATGCAAGCTGCAAGTTATTAATACTTTAAAAATAAAATGCATGCATGTGGATTATTAGCTTTAAACATATCTTTTGTTACTATATATATATATATATATATATATATATATATATATATATATATATATATATATATATATAGAGAGAGAGAAAGAGAGAGAGGTAAAATCATATCTAAAGTTGTTGTACGTGCAGAATGATATGTGTCTGATTATGATTTTCAACATTCAATGCTTTAAACTATATATATGAAAAATTTGTCACTACACACGTTAAGCGGCGGAAGAAAAATCAAACATAATACACACACACACAACACACACACACAGATAGAGATATATATATATATATATATATATATATATATATATATATATATATATATATACTATCGCTATATTGGAACAGATCTTATGATTCCGGCATACAAATATTAAATCTTACACTTAACTTTAACTTTAACTGTTAATTTTTGTATATTTGATGGTTGAAATTACTTTAACCTTTAATTTTTGTATATTTGATGGTTGAAATTTATTTAAAATTAATAATTAATGAATGAGAATAACCTAATCAATTACAGTCATTTGATAGATGAAAATTAACAGTTAAGATTGAATGTAAGATTTATTATTCTTATACCGGTATAAATTGATTCTATCCATATATATGTGATCAACTTACACGGATGAAAAAATAAAAAGTCTTACGTCAAGCTTTTAGCCATTGATTTACATGCATAAGACCACGGTAATTTTTTAAGTTATACTCATTAATTAATTTCTAATCCAAAAAAATTACATATGTCAAATGCATGTAAACCAATAGTTAATATATATATATATATATATATATATATATATATATATATATATATATATAGGACAATATATTCTTACACTGGTGTAAGAATTAGAAGTCTTACACTCAGTTTTGATCATTGATCCACTTGTATTTAATGACTCGTATTAATAAAAAACTAGAGCCCTTAAATATAAGTGAGATCAGCGATCAAGATTGAAAGTGTAACTTACACTGGTGTAAAATGATCATGACCCATATATATACGGAAATTAAATGCATTTGTCATGTTACATGACAAATGAGTAATTGTTATGTTAAGAAAAAAGATAAATTATATAATATTAAAAAGTAAGAGGACATATTATTCAATGAATTTATCTTGTCTTTTTCTTAACATAACAACTATTCATTTGTCATGTAACATGGCAAATGCATTTCCATATATATATATATATATATATATATATATATATATATATATATATGGGTCAGGATCATTTTACACCAGTGTAAGTTACACTCTCAATCTTGTCCGTTGATCCCATTTAAATCTAAGGGCTCTAATTTTTTAGTAATGTGAGCCATTGGATACAAGTGGATCAATGGTCAAGATTGAGTGTAAGACTTTCAATTCTTACACCGGTGTAAGAATTGACTGGCCCTATATATATAGATATATATATATATATAGAGGTAGGATCCTTTGACACCAATGTCAAATTTAAAGTTTGACACCTCGTCTGAGAGCCATTATATCAAAAAAGATCTACGACTCTGATTTGTAAGCATGTGACACCGTTGATCTTTTTTGATCTAATGGCTCTCAGACGAGGTGTCAAACTTCAAATTTGACACTGGTGTCAAAGGATCCTACCTCATATATATATATATATATATATATATATATATATATATATATATATATATATATATATATATATAAGGATGGGACAAGTTACACTATGTATTATGGATAGTACAAAGTCAATTTCAGAAATTAACTATGTACTACGGGTAGTATATTGTTAATTTCTAATATACACTACGTACTGCCCGTAGTACATAGTGTAACTTGACCAATCCTTAAGTCAAGTCACATGGCAAATCATTTTGCCATATATATATTATGAGATTAATGTGTTTCATGTTGTAGGAGATAATTTTATCTTCTACGCACATATAATATTGTGTGAGACCTATGTGGGCCATGTGAAGAAGAGAAGATAGAAAAAAAGAAAATATTAACTCCACATATTTTTATGTGTATGTGAGATAAAATTATCTCCCAGAATATAAGTAATACTAATCCCATATATTTTTTATTCAAATCAAACTAAATACATACATAGGCTTTATTGGGGTTCTGCTTTCACCCACCAGATACTGTACCTTATAATCTTACTAATGATGGACCAATATAAAAAGGAGGAGCAGTTAAAAAAGGAATGATCGTGATGCTAACCGTTAGGTATTTTAAAGAGTATTCTATTCTATACCAAATGTCTGTGTCTGATTCTTTTTGTACTTGCAGGCGGCAAAAAAGCATATAGCATCTGATTTGTTTTTTGGACTACGTCTCTTAAATGATATTAGTACTTTGCTTACCCTGAGATGAGCTTGCATGAAAATGATTGGTAATACAACTTCGTCAGTTTTTCTTTTCTCATGATTCTTGTGATGTTTTCAAAATATGAATCATCTTAAAATTGGACAAATGGAAGGAAGAGGAATGTGTCACTCACAACAACACGAGTGCTGTACTACTTTAATTATATCGCATTACAGCATATAATTGTTGTATTTTGTACCCAATCTCAATACATGTCATGCTCATGTTTCCCAAGAAATGGTCATGTAATACTCCATAGTATTCCGGTTGTTAATATATATGATTAATATATATGATATTATAATGTAAGTAACTGAAGACTAATTTTATTAAATATGAAATCGTCTTATAAAAATATAAGTTAACTTTTTCCAAAACATTTTATAAAATCATTTTCAAAAACATTCATATAAGATATTGCATGAGCATAATTTTAAACCTTACATCTACTAACTAATCCTATTAGCCATTATTAATGCCATTGACTAATGTTGCGTACACGGCAAGTATACCGGTCGTACTAAGCCTAATCCTCAAAGCCTTATAATTAGAGTGACCAATTCTAATCAGGATATGAAAAAATTAACACAGGCAGAATAAAACAAACAAACTAATTAAATTATAAAAACAATACAGAAAATATAAAGGATTCACATCTGGTCCGTGATCCCAACTACAAAAGAAATTAGCCAAACATATTCATGTCTGACTTAAACAAATTCAAATAATAAAAAATGTTCATAAAAGCAATAAAGAAGAAGAAGAAGAGGGAATCTCAATGGTCTTCAGTCTTCAACTCCGGTGGAATCCTGATCTCCAGCGCGAGTCTCCAAGAATTCTCTCAATTCTCTGATCCTCGCAATTCTCTCCAGCCAAAGATGATTGTTTCCTGGGGTCTGAGTCTCTATTTATAGAGTTTGTGCCCTTGCTTAGAAAATCTTGATCGAATCTTTATCATATATCTTGGTCCAATCTTTCTCCGATTCAGCCTGACGATTTGTTTAAAATTTCTCACGTAACTCCCGCGCTACTAGCGCCAATTTCGCGTTGATAGCGTGGGAGTCTTGTTCAGAAAACTGTAAGCTCGCGCTACTAGTGTGGTTCCCACGCTGCAAGCGTGGATGGCTTGAATGATGGGTGGCGCTACTAGCGCCAGTTCCACGCTAGTAGCGTGGAGATTCTGCCTTGGAAAGTCCTTCTGGAACTGCCAGCGCCACAGCCGTGCCAGTAGCGCGGGGCTTCAGACTGGTACTATTGATTCGAGCTTCTTTTTGTCTTGTTTTCCTACAAAAATCGTAAGAAAATCAGTGATATGATCTTTGATTGAGATTTATCAAATTAATAGCAATTACAACCCCTTTTATACAAGATTGATCAGATTCTTTCTCTTTTTGGCTTAAAATCATATATATGCTAGAGGCATATCAAACAATTCCCAGATTTGATCGTTGCTGTCCTCGGCAATGTAATAGATCAAAGTTAGGAACAAGAATTAACTCTGTGAAGAAAAACATGGAACATGAATATCTTAAGAGATCAGACTGCTATGTATGTATAACTCCCTGTTAAAAACTTCAAATAATTCTTTTTAGTTTTATCAAGAAATTCAGATCATACCTTGAATGTTCCTCACTAGATAAATATATAAC